AGCAGGGAAAGGAAAAACCCCAAAAGCGCTTTATGGCATGAATTACAAAACCAATCAGGGCGGGGGAACCCACAGAACGCGGGGGGGGGGATGCAGGAGCGGCCCCAGGACCACCAACCCCCCCCAAATAAACCCGTGGGGCTGCCACGTCCCAAACTGTGGTGCCTCAGTGACCCCAAATCCAGGGCCAGAAACCCCAAGCTGTGTTCCCACCTCTGGGGCCACCGCGTCCAAGTTTTAGGGCCAACATTGGGGTCACCGTGTCCCACATTTTAGGGCCACCACATCCCACATTTTATGGCCACCACATCCAAAGTTTTGGGGCCACCACGTCCCAACTTTTAGGGCCACCACGTCCCAAAATTAGGGTCACTGTGTCCAAAGTTTTGGGGCCACCACATCTCAAGCTTTATGACCACCACCCCCCCAACTTCTAGGGCCACCATGTCCCACATTTTAGGGGCACCATGTCCAAAGTTTTGGGGTCATCATGTCCCACCTTTTAGGGTCACCACATCCACAGTTTTGGGGCCACCACATCCCACATTTTAGAGCCACCACATCCCATATTTTATGGCCACCACATTCCAACTTCTAGGGCCACCACATCCGAAATTTTGGGGCCACCACGTCCCACATTTTAGGACCACCACATCTCAAGCTTTAGGACCACCATCCCCCATCTTTTAGGGCCACCACATCCTGTATTTTATGGCCACCACATCCAAAGTTTTGGGGTCACCACGTCCCACCTTTTAGGGCCACGACATCTCAAGCTTTATGACCACCACTCCCCAACTTTCAGGGCCACCACGTCCCACATTTTAGGGCCACCACATCCACAGTTTTGGGGTCATCATGTCCCACCTTTTAGGACCACCACATCTCAAGTTTATGACCACCATCCCCCAACTTTTAGGGCCACCACATCCCATATTTTAGGGTCACCACATCCAAAGTTTTGGGGCCACCACATCCAAAGTTTTGGGGCCACCACATCCCACATTTTAGGGCCACCACATCCAAAGTTTTGGGGTCATCATGTCCCATTTTTAGGGCCACCACATCCCACATTTTAGGGCCACCACATCCCCAGTTTTGGGGCCACCACATCCCACCTTTTAGGGCCACCACATCTCAAGCTTTATGACCACCACCCCCCAACTTCTAGGGCCACCACGTCCCACCTTTTAGGGTCACCACATCCACAGTTTTGGGGCCACCACATCCCACATTTTAGGGCCACCACATCCCCAGTTTTGGGGCCACCACGTCCCACCTTTTAGGACCACCACATCTCAAGTTTATGACCACCATCCCCCATCTTTTAGGGTCACCACGTCCCACCTTTTAGGACCACCACATCCCAACCTTAGGGCCACCACATCCACACTTTTGGGGCCACCATCCCCCATCTTTTAG